CCTATCCAAGTTACTTATGCCGAAATGTGGCAACCGATCCATTCAACACACCACAATCACAAACATAAGTTATTCTCAAGTTCATACAATTTAGTCATGATTCATGGCATTCATCATCCCTCTATTTCCTTTGCACAAACGTGATTAATAATGTGACATTCACATATGTACATGGATCGTAAAGAAGCAAATAGTCACAGAATCACGACCATCACCTAATCCTAGATCATCATCTAAGGCTTCTTCCTAGGATTCAATCATATTATATTCGGTGCACGAGGACCTACGCATATTTTTACCGTTTACTTACATATATCACGCGGTAAACATAGATTTATAACTATTCAATTCGTAAAACCTAACCTATCTGGGTGCCAAGCAAATGTACGAAGTTTTGGTGTTTGATTCTTGATTCCAGGATTCGTGACGACAATCTTGACTGGAAATGTCACAATTCGAGCCTACACTCTAGACGTGGCCGGTACTAAAAGACCATTGTTGGTCCCCAAGCGAACCCTCATCCTGAATGACTATAAGTTGACGACTCACTTAAGCATACAAAGCTTGAAACAAAATAAAAATTATGAAACTCAATTACAATGCTTTAACTCAATTGAAAACTTTGAATAGTCAAATAAATATATTCAACTCGCCATAAAAAAGACAACTTTAGTCTTTAAAACATTTAATAAAATAAATGCAAAATACAGACTCTTTAACTAAACTGACTATCTATGAAGCCTCTAACTGATAAAGATGGAAGTCGGGACAAGACCCACGCCTCCTAATTAAACTGAAAAGTAAATGAAATCCTCCGAAAGTAAGGAGACTCACCACCACTATCTCGAATCTCGGATGTATCAATGAAGATCTTGTTGCAGACCCTAAATATCTGTGTCTGCATCATGAAAAGATGCAGGCCAATTGGCTCAGTACGTGGAATGTAAGAGCATATAAGGGAAATTCTAAAGCATAACATAAGCTTGATACTTGGATAAAAAGATGGAAACATACTTACCTCTTCTAAAACTTGAAACCCAATGAATAATCAAGAATAAGATACTAAACTCAGAGATTAAATATTGAACTCAAAGATATGATACTCAACTAAGGATACTAAACTCAAAATACTTAACTCATGATAGTTAATTGAACTCATTTCAATATAAAACAGTTAAATACAAGTGCAATATAAAGAAAAGTTGTTTAAAAACATGATGTCAACTCTGTGTGCATAACAAGGATACAACATAACTCTGAAATGTATATGAAAGTACAATTAACTGATGTATATAAAAATACTATAGCTTTTGTGGGAGTTTCTCTAACCGACAACCATCACTTAAGAATCGATTTTTCTTATATAAACTCCTGTCACTACTTCTTCATTGTCGTTCAATGAAATATACTGGGTACACGTGGTTTCGTACTCATACTACACTTGTTGCACTCTTTGTAGTGCAGATTAAATTTCGAGTACGAGCACATCTCGTGTAGCATTTTGAGTCCGAGGTTGGAGTGTCTTGGAGTTGTGGTAAGTTGCTTGGTTGTTTTGTGGCCCACACCTCCCTCTATCTTTTACTTATTTTGTTACTTTAGTATTCAAACAGAATATCCCTTATGTTAGATTTGTCATTTTAGTTTCAGACTTCCATCGTATTTTAGAATATCTTGTACTGATGACACCGATTCTTGGATAGTTCTTTTTTAAGTTTTCAACATTTCGTACTTATAAGGAAATCAGTGTTAAAGATTTTGCTAAGTGTTTTTACCTTTTTATTCATTAGTTAGTTAACTTTTGTAAAATACGTTGATTGGCTTACCTATTGGTTGGGAACATAGGTGCCATCACAACTTGTGAATTTAGGTCGTGACACATAGTAATGGTTGTCGGTAAGAGAAACTCCCATAGAGATATTTTGTATTTTATCTACACAGAGTTTATTTTGTATTTTCATATAAATAGAGTTTACATTGTATCCTTGCTTACAAATTGAGTTACTATCGAATTTTTCAATACATTGAGTCGCTTGCTACTGTTTTAAAAGTTTTCCATGTATTGCATCTGTATTGTTGCTTTACATTGAGTTGAGTATCCAGAGATGAGTATCTAGAGTTGAGTATCCAAAGTTGAGTACTTAGAGTCGAGTATCTTATGATTGAGTTTAGCCTTATTTCATTGAGTTGAATATCTTATTGTTGAGTTGAGATTTATTTCACTGTGTTGAATATCTTATCATTGAGTTGAACCCTGTTTTTTTTAGTCGAGTTGAGTAGAGTTGACATGAATCTTGATTTTTTTTTCTTCTCTCTAAAACCCTAGCGTGAATTTTCAATTGTGCAAATTGTACCAATTCATTTTTGACCCTGTAAATTCACTAAGAGTGAATTAAATTAACTAGGTGTAGAAAAGACCAAATTACTCCTTAAAAATTTGATTTTGACTTTCCTTATCTAGACATCCCGACTTTCAATGGGCATATCTTTCTCATACGAACTCAAAATTGTGCAAACTCGGCGGCATTAGATCTTTCCTACGATATCTTGTAGCACACCTAAATTATTTTGATCTAGAAGTTGTGATCGTTTAAAGTTGATTCAAAACTCATCCTTAACCTAACTCAAACAAATTTCCGGAAATTTTTCTCTCCAAAATTGGCTCTTTCAAATTTTTAGCTCTTTCGCTTAGCAAGGTGTTACAAGATTGTGTTTTTTCACAAAGGAGGATAAAATTTCCTAAAGGGAATTGGGGGTCGTTAGCCAATTATTGCATGTCTGAACCATTTGATTAACTATAGAGTTATGAGTTGAAAACATTTTTAAATTACTCTATATAAAATAGAGATATATTTGATCTTTTTTCATTATCTTACAAAGTTTACAACATATATAGGTTCACTTTCAATCGGTACCAAAAACTCCAAAATATAATTCATAAAATCAATTGACGACCATTAAGTTCGAGGGTTGCTCTTTTTAGTTCTTGTATATATAAAAATATTTCTTTTACCAAATCCCTCTTATTAATTTCTAATAAGAATACTAAAAATAAAGAAATAATTTTGTCAATTACTTAAAAGAATATCAGAGATACATGGTTGATAGGAATATTTAATTCACACGCAACTTAATAACTAAATTAAAAGGCACAATAACTAAGAGCAATATATCAATACCAAAATACTTAAAATTATAACACATCTTTTTTGTGTTCTATATATGTCAAAATGACTCATAAATATAAGAACATTACATTAGGGGACCATAGCTTTTTCTACCTTTGGTATCATGTAATTTTTGTTTTTTATGTTTCCTTCAGTCCATCACTACAAAAATTCAGCTATGAAATTATTATTAGTTTTTCATCAAATAGTTCATAGTAACTATTTCTTATGATAATCCGTCATTAGAGAAAATAATGTGTGTGTATATATATATATAAAGCTCTTAAATTAAAAAGTTTCACATCGATAAACATAGAAAATATGTTGGGCATATAACTTCTAAGTAAATCGTTCTTATCAATTAAAGATGTGTTTTAAAGTCGTGCGGGCATAAGCCAAAACGAATAATATCACTAGCGAGCTGGACCATAACGACTTTCATATATAAATATGTATACTCATGTAATCATGTAAGACTTCAAATACGCTCTTTGTCATGATATTTAGCTATTCAATATACAAATTATACAAACATCAATTTACATAATATTTTTTCATTGTAATGACACGAGAAGAATTGCATTATGTAATAATATTTTAGCATTAAAAAGAGGCCACATGCCAAGAGTAGTAAACTATAAAACATGATTTCTACGCTAAAGGCGTTTATTTTAGAGTGAAGAAATCTCAACGAACAAAAATCATAACATAAAGAGTAAGGAAATGCATGGATGGTTGAAAGACGTAATAACTAGGAACAATATATCAATATCAAGTATAAATCACGTTTTTTGTGTGTTCTATATAGGACAAAATGACTCAAATATCCCTTTCTTTTTTTTTCTTCTTTTTTTTTTGCTTTCTTATTGGTGAAACGTATATTATTTGAATAAGATTTATCCTTAAAATATAGAAATCACGTGAATTCAGAAAAGAATCACATTTTATATTTATTTAAGACTTTAAAATCTTTGGGACCATAGATTTAATTTATGTGTGGTAGGTAGGGTTTGAATTGCAAATTGTCAAATTAGTCCCCCCCATTTAAACCCCCCCCCCCCAAATAAAAAAAATGATAATGTGTTATACTTTTGTATATCAAATGCCAAATGAAAAACTAAATAATAATAATAATAATAATAATAATAATAATAATACACAATTAAGAAGAATACAAAATCTAGCTAGCCTTGTTATTATAAAATAAAGAAGTCAAATTACCAATAAATTAATTAAGTTTCTTTTGTTTCCCCTATTTTGAGGCAATTTTATTGATTTTTTAAAAAGGAAAGAAGTTTCTCTTTTAGAATTTCGGATTACTTTAAATTTTCTCTTTTAGAATTTTGGATTACTTTAAATGAATTTTAATTTATGTTAATTCAAAACCAAAAATTTATTGAAATAAATTATTCCCCATTTAAAAGAAAATAATAAAAATTCGGCATGATGCTCCAACCTTTATAGTTAAGTACTTATTCATTAAGCATAATTCAGGTCTCCTATTAAAAAAAATAATCATATAACTAGAAAATATTTGTTAACGACTATACCATAAAATCTTCTGTTTTATTCTTTTAAATTTCATAATTTACAAAATAGTCGTACTAGTGAGTGTTTCCCACATGTTACATGTGAATTCAATTTTCACAGTCTCCCTTCTTATTTTGTGTGTAAATTTCTTTTAGAAAAACAAATAGTTTTATCCGAAATTTCTAATTATTATGGCTTTAGATGAAAAGACCATATTGTCCCTTATCTTCAAATTGTCAAACACACGTCAATGAATATACTATCACTTACTAATGACTGAATTACTCGATACCAGCCATAACATTTATAACTAATCGATCCGACCCGACCCGATCCGAAGTCCCTATAAATATTGATGTGTAACTAATGAGTGTTACACATCACACAATTAAATTAAATAAAAGCAAAATGGAGGGAAAGAGAATCAAGTTATCTCATGTTCTTGCTTTCCTGCTTCTTGCATCACGTTCGTAATTCTCTTTTTAGTCCGACTAATTCAAATTTATACTCATTAGTAAAGCTTATTTAACCGGCAAGCCGCCCTAATAGTATTTTGAATTCTCTTAGTGAAACTATTAACTCTGTCAAATAATCGTGCATATGTATATATTGTAATTAATTTATTTTAATTACAGTTTTTCAAACACTGATGGCAAGAGATTTGATCAGTGATGGCATAGAAGTGCTACAACTTCCAGTGGAAAATGATGGTGAATTTGTATTTTGCCCAGGTAATTAATTAATTTCACATATGGTTACATAATTATGATTTTTTTTCTCACTATTATCAAATAATTGTATATAATATTTTAATCTTACCAAAACAGAAATCACATAATTATTATATGTTTTTAGGTAAGCAATCATGGCCTGAACTTGTTGGAAAATCAGCAAGATATGCAAAACAAGTAATTCAGAAGGAAAATCCAATAGTAACTCAATTTACACTTTTATTTCCTGGTATGCCTAAGCCAGCAGCATATATTTGTGGTAGAGTTTATTTGGTTGTTAACTGGAAACTCATTGTTCAAGTTACTCCCTCTATGGGTTAGTAACATTATGTTATCAAAAAATTAAATGAAGTCTCTTCATTTACTCTACTATTTCAACATAAATAAAACTAATGTTCCTTATTTTTATTGTAATGCTATATATATGTATCTACCCTTATTTTCTTTTATGTTGTAGTATTTTCCAATTTTTGATTTTCTTTTCTTATGGATTGACTAATCATTAATGAGTCTATGATATGAATTTTTTTTGGAAAAATGACAAAAATCTCATCTTTAAGTTCTCTTATTACCATAATTCCCTATTAGTTTTACAAATCTTCAAAATTTTTCATTTTCACGCATCGGATTAATGTATCAGCGCATTAAATTAATGTATCTCGCACATCTAATTAATGTATCTCGTGCATCAGATTAATGCATCTCGCGCATCAGATTAGTGTATCATGTATAAAATGTACATCAAATTAGTGTATCATGTATAAAATGTAATGTATCTTACTTAACAATTAATGTATCTTCATCAGATTAATGTATCAGCGCTTATATTTTTTTTATCAGTTTGAGAGATTTCTGTAATTATAAACTTATAAGGGACAAATGGTTATTTTTCCTTTAAAATATGTGATTTCTGTCATTTGCCCTTTTTTATTATTATTATAGAGAACGCTACCCTTCGAATTAGGGTTGTTCAAAATCAAACTGAAATCAGTAATTTGAACTGAAAAAAAGTTATTGACTTAGCGGTTTTTTTTTTTGGCTTGTCGGTTCTTAGTATTTTGAAGTTTTACTTAACGGGTTAACCGGTAGCCCGATAGTAAATTAAATAATTATATTTATACCAGTTTATATATAAAGTTCTTGACGTAGAGTTTGGTTTCCTATTTTTATTTTTGGTTGTCTCAAATACTTGGTTGTTCTATAAAGTAAAAGTGTTTGCTTTTGAGGAAGATGTAACTAGTGAACTCACGTGTATGATTCATTTGGTTTGTCATCTTATTTCTAAGTGGTTTTCAATGTTTTTATTTTTTGCGTCAAATCTTAATAGTCAAACCAATAACCGAACTGATGACAATCAAAAACCGATAAACCAATAATCGATAAGTCAATATCTTAACGGTTCTATAACTGCTCAACATCTCTACAAACTGATAATCAATAAGCTAAACTGATAAAATTCAAAATTGAAACGAACCGATCGCTATGCAACCCTACCTCTAATGGCCCCAACAACATGGATATCAATAGGCAAATGCCCTAAGTTCAATTTCAATGGACACACATAGTAAATTATACACATTGTATCACCGGGATGCATTCACACATAGATGATGTATACATAAATGCAATCTGAATGTAATATGTGGTGTACATGATCGGTAGGTTTGGATTTTTCAAATATCAAATCAAATTATTAGTATCAGATTTTTGAATTTATAAACCAAATTAAATCAATAAAACTCGAGTTTTTTAACTTTGGATTTTTTTGGATTTCTTTAAAATTTTTGTGTTATTTTGAATTTCGGGTTTTTCGATAAGTTTTCATATAAACGTATAATTTACTTGTAATTTAAATATTTCTTAGTCCTACCAAAATGCAACTATCTAAGTTATTTTTCAAGAAAATAACAAAAAATATGATATCATTAATGACACTAAAATATCCAACAACAAAAAAAACCGCGTAAAAAAATATTGCAAATTAATAAGTCATAATGAAATTGATCATAATTTAAAGTACGAAATCATACTAAAATAAGTTTATTAAGTATTAGTTACATGACTAAATATTAAAAGAAAGTAAAATTAAATCATGTATTTTAATTGTCTATGTAAAACTAAAAAACAAATATTTAATATTATTGTCATTCTTAGTGTTGAATTGATTTTCTTTTTGCATTAGTATTAATTTGATTTTTATTTAAACTTTATTATAATTGCTAACACGTATGAATTATAATCTTTATCAGATCATTAAGAACTCTAACTTCCAAACATGAAATAAATATATTAAAAGATAAAAACTATGAAAAAGTATAAGAGTTATTTAAAAATTATATCAAAATAAGTATTTTTACGTATGAAACAAAATTTTAAAATTATATATATAATGTCAGGTTTAATTTGATCTCAGATTGTTTTTTTAGTTGAAATCAACCCAATCCAAATATCGATTTTTTTTTCCAATACCAAATTAAGTTAAACCAAATCACTAGTCAAATTTTTTTCTATTTAACTCGATTTACGATTTAATTCGATTTTATTTTCGATTTTGTACACCCCTAATTGAAAGGCATTGAAAATAATTTTAAAGTTCATTTTGATGAATTGAGACTGATTTTAAACCATAACTCAGTATACCATCGACTTCTAGTTGTTGAGAGGGTACTTTTGGGAGGATGCACTACAGTAAGAAAAAAAAAGAAAAAAAATGCAGATGAAGAGTTATTTGAAAAAAAATGAAGATGAAGAGTTATTTCATTTTGGTAGGTGGGTTTGAAATAAAAAATATTTATTTGAAAAAAATTGGGTAAAAAATAAATAAAGATATTGAAACGAAGTCATGTATTTATTAGGGATATATTTATCCTTTTTCTAAGCACAATATTTTCATTCGAGTTATTATTATTATTTTCAATAAAACAAAAGAAAAGCCATCTAAAAAAGTAGTTTGAAATTCTAAAAGAAAATATAATTAGAAGTTTTTCATAATCAGGGTTTAAACTCAAACCCTCAAAGTAAATTTCTTAGATAATCACTTAAGTTTGGAAATTTTCACTATAATATTACTTTTATTTCTTAAAGATCACAATATCACCAGATTTTATTTTTCTCAAAATATATTCATCTCTCCTAGTGATATGTCATGTAATATATTCTATTTTTTTTAAAAAAAATATTATATTTAAAATACAATGGTAATCAAACTTTGAAATAAATTAATTAATATTTATTATTTATTTTTCTATATATTTTTAAAACGTTATTAACTTTTATAAAATTAAAGAATGGGTAAATTTTTAAATTAATATCTAAAAGAAGTTACTTATAAAGACAGACGCTAAACAAGTTTTTATTGTATTGTTAAAAACTTTTTGTTAAATAAAATAAAAAATGTAAAATGTCATCCCATTAGAAGAGGTATATTATAAAGAAACTAGCACTAGTCGAGTAATATTGTGTTCCTAAAGAAATAAAAATATTATTATAATTTACTATTTAACGAATTTACTCTCAAATCTTTGATTCAAAAACACCAATAATCTCTTTGATAGAAACTTATATTTCTATCTTAATTTTTTATGATATTTTTATTTTTTTAAAAAAAATACACGTTTTAATCTTTTTTTTTAGGGGGGGGGGGGGGACTACTTTGTCAATGTGATTTAAATGATAGGTACCACACACAAAATCAAAGATCTCCAACATGTATTTTATGAATTTATTGATCTTCTATATTTTCTTTTTTTAAAAAATCCAAAAAAATTGTATAACTAAAAAATATTTATAACAGACTATAAAATCAAATTTTCTGTTTCATTTTTGTCAAATTCATAAATAATGGTAGTATAAGTTTAATGTCCCTCACCTACTACGCGTAAAATTCAATTTTCACTGTCCCATAACATTTCATGCGTAAATTTAAAAAAAAATAAGTTTATCCTAATTAGTAGATTTAAAGGAAAAGACCATTTTGCCCCTTATACAACATGTGGTTGTTAGACACCACTAGTATGTAGTACCTCACTACAATGAAGGCAAACTGTGCCTATAAATTAATGTGATACAAGTTATACAAATTCACTCAATTCCTTCTACTCTTTACATTACAACTAAAACCAAAATGGAGTCAAAGTTTGCTCACATTATTGTTTTCTTTCTTCTTGCAACTTGTTAGTTCCTCTCTCTC